TGTAGAGAGGGAGACAGAGTCGTGTCGTCATTCGCAGCTTTCGTACTTGTCACTCCCCCCCCCCCCCTTCCGTTCTTTCTGAAGGGGGAAGTGTCTGCGAGATATAGCGTGCTATGCTCTTCATTGCCCCAACCCCACTCCACTTTCGTGACACCACGAGTCCCGACGAGCATTGTTCGCCGAATCCTTTGCTTCGCCTGGCATCTCGTGCGTCTGTGATTTTTCGCCACCGGCAACAGCGCTGTGAAACTTAAAGGGGTAATGTAGTTTTTGCGTCCCGAGACCACGATATGACTATGAGACAAAAGGAGGGCTCCGGAAACGTCGACCATCCGGTGCTTTCGAACGTGCACTGATACCGCACAACCCGCGAGTCTCGAGAATTTCGCCTCCTTAGGAATCCGACCACTGCGGCGCTGAGATCGAACCAACGACCTTAGGGTCAGAAGCCTAGCGCCATAACAAAAGTTATGCACCGAAGTAAACGAAAATCAGGGTAGCGGTTTCGTCCGATCGTCACTGCATGATATTTAGCGCGCGTGTTCGGAAAAACAACCTAAACAGACTGTGCTAGGAGACACTGATAAGCACTGATATTAAACTGAGCTTCATTGGGAAACGAACGTTAATCAGAACTAACACATACACAGAGAGGGAGAAAAAGAAAGAGAGAGAGAGAGACGAGGAAAGTATACGAGAAGCCATTTGTAGTGAACATAATGTTAATATAAAGAAAGTAAAGTTACAGCTACAGCGGATGACCACCGCTTCGTTCATCGGACACGTTATACGAAAGTCAATTACGCCTGAAGTGGGTATGTACCACAGTGAAAAAGCAAGTGTGTTTAATGTATTGGGGGCATTGGACGACCCACTCGTTTCGCAATGCGCATTGTGTGACGCCTGTGGTTCATATGCTGTTCTAAAACGCTGTATTACTCATATTAACGCGATTCCTTTCCCGACATCAAGCCTACCTGAGGCAGGTTTGCGACAAGTCCCAAACATCGGCATGGTTCAGCGGTAGAATACTGGGCTGGCACGCGCTGGACCCGGGTTTGAATCCCGCCATGTCCTTAGTGTTTTTATTTCAGGTTTCTTATTGCGTGCGATAGTGGTTGCGGACACTGGCGGCGGACAACTACGGAGTCACGCGGGACCTGCGTTGTGGTCTCATAACAGTTCTCGTTGTAATAACATCTGAAAATGCAAGCAAAAAGAACCAGCGTGCAAGCTCAGTGGGACTCAACAAAAGTTTATGTGGCTGATGAGACGTGCAAGCTATATCTGTGAGATATGAAACTTCTGCGCCAGATGTGGCTGATACCATAGAGTTTCCCAAAATTAACTAGAGGGCACTCTGGCGCTGCGTTTGTTCAGCGACCATGGGAATGATGGGTAGTACACACATTTGCCTAGTCTTCGTACTTGTGGGCAGCGGATCGTACTTCGGCTTCGTTTATTGCTGTGTTTCAGTTTTGTTTTGAAAGAAAGAACAAATCCTTTTAAACTAAGTGACTTGATTCGAAATGGTAAGCCTAAAATAATAAGGTTGTGAAGCGCAAACAGTGAACATTTGCTAATTTATGTTTTCGTGAAAAAACAGCTCCAAGCCACACGAACACACACGGAGCCATAAGCAGGCCAGAAGTACGAAATTTAGACAAATGTGTGTACTACTCATCATTCCCATGCTCGCTGAAGCGCCGTGTGTTGCAGCTCGCATAGACACTAGCGCCAGAGTTCCCTCTAGTGTATATTGAGAAACTCTATGGCTGATACTATTCGTAATTGTATCAGCCAGCCTTTCTTATAGCACTACAGGGTGCAGAAGTTTCGTATCTCACAGATATAGCTTGCACGTCTCATCAGCCACATAAACTTTTGTTGAGCTTTGTCACATTGAGCTTGCGCGATGGTTCTTTCTCCTTTTTTTTGTTGCTTTTCCAGATGCTATTTATTACACTTCTTTTTAGAATAAATATTAATTTGCGAGTCAGCGCTGTAGTTTCTCTTTTCTTTCCCGTCCCCGTTTCTGTCACGCTAATATTCCTTCAAGATGTCCACAGCAAGACAGTTACAACAGAACACGACAGAACAGGTCAGCACAAACCGAAACGAGAAAGGAAGGTTGAAAATTCAGAAAAAAAAACTTCATTAATATTTCCTTGGTTTTCACGTTCCAAAACCATAATATGGCTATTAGACACGCCGTGGTGGAGTGCTCCGGAAATGTTGAGCATCTGGTGTTTTTTAACGCGCACCTAAATCCAAGTACCAGGGCCTATAATATTTGGCCCTCATCGTAATCAGTTCTCCCGTGAGGGTCAGCGTTCGAGCACATCAACTGCTACAGACCACTGCGGTGTGTTAGATACAAAGGCAAAATAAATGTTAAGTGTGAACGTTAACATTACTGAATGTAGTAATTAAGCACTTCGAACTATAATCCCCTCATAGGATTAGGGGAACATTGTGATTAAACAGTACACAAGTGCAGTACAATTGGATTAAATAATACTTTCAAAGGCCATATTTATTCATACTTGGTAGGTTATCAGCCTGAGTATGTGACATACAGGGTGTCCCATATAAATTGAGCCAAGAATTCGAAAGTTGAAGTCACTTAGGAGGCGAATTGAACCAAACGCATACTACTCGCACTAGCCTGTAGGTACTCAGGCAATTTTTTTCTCTCCACACTAATTAATAACTCTTAATTACCTCATTTTTTAATTATAGGGCTGGAAACCCAAAATATGAACACTGAGATGTAGAGGACCTTCAGAAGCCACCCTGACTAAATTGTTTCCTGTACGATACGTCTCACGCTATTATTTTTTTTTCACGTTGTAAAGAAAGCCCGCGAAACGTGAAAAGAAGCCGTTTGGCGGACTGTGAGCGCACCGCTATAGTGCTGCTGTAGGCTTTCTTTACAACACAGAAAAAATAACATCGCTAGACGTATCGTAAAGGAAACAATTTTGTCGGTGGTTGCTGAAAGTGCTCTACGACACCTTGTATAGGATACGTTTAAGCCTTGAGAAGAACGACGTGAGGAGTCGAGCGGGTGATGTAAGAAACGGTAGTCTCATGTCTGATAGCTCACCCTTCCCATCAATTCATACTCACGCGTAAACGAACAAAAAGAAGGTGGTTTTCGAATCACGTTTCACTGTATACCGTAGCGTAAAGCTTGTAATGACGCCAGTACCCACGTCAGAGCCAGGAAAATGATGACCCGCTAGCGAAGAAATAGCCAGCGCCGCACGCGAAACTATACGTCCGGTCTGCGTCAAACGTTTAGAGCCCACTATAGGTCTGAGAAAATTGTATTTGGTCGCAGTGCGTATTAAACACCCTTAGCGCGTTTTAGAACAGACAGGTAAAATTTAAATTCGAGGCTGTCTGCCCAAGCAGAGGGAATATTCAAGCACTTTTCCTTCTCACTCGCGGCCCCTAAAATTCCCAGACTGATTTTGTTTTCATGCTTTCCCACAAACATTCACTTCCATGTGGTATCACACCGGGCCCAAGCCCCCACTCCCCTCCCCCCACCCTGCCCTCCGATTATTTTCCCACATATCATACATAGATGACCATTTCAAGGAAGGGCCCTTCTCCCCCGAAAAATATTCCTGTCTATACGCCCCTGCTCCCGCGCGCTTACAAATTACCCTTCGTTTTCTTCATTGCCATCAAAAACTGAAACCAGGCCCCAAAAAATCTAGATGAAAATAAATAAAGCAGTTTTTCAGATAGCTGTGCAAATTTATAATAAAGCTGTATAGTGCTGCTCCATTTTGTACATTCAGCTATTCTATATCAATAATTTTAAATGGTGTAACGTGATCGCCAAGCTTTTGTCTCAAGTGTCTGGAATTGGTGGCGTTAGTGTCTGCACTCGGTTCGCTCGTCGATTTGAACGATTCTTAAAACACTGTTGGCGTGGAATTTGGTAGATCTGCTGGGACGGCCCAGTTGACAGTCGTCCAAGTTTGTCATCTGTATTCAATCGACTATAATGTCGCGAAACTGAAACTTTCTTATTTTTGTCATGTCATGAGGGCTTACTTTAGAGCGTGAGCTAATGCCAACGAAAGTTGACAGTAAGATGAAAACGAGGCCGTGGTTGAGCGGCATTCTGCAAGTCAGGACAGCGTCTAGGCGAACTCAAAGAAATTGTAATAAATATGAATCCCACTGATGTTCATATTGATTGGGTGCAACCAGCAGCCATCAGCAACTCGGTGGCATCTATAAGTATGTCTATACATAAACGCTTTGTGACATAACCCCCGTTTCCAACACGTGACTGACGGACATCTCTATAGTGGTCTGTCCCGTTAATGATTGTCTTCATCCCACAGGCATGCACACTGGAAGGGGGGGGGGGGGTGCTCCCTCTCCCTAGTCAACTAAGAGAGGAGGTCTAAAGTCGATGTATATTAGATACATTGACTTAATAAGTGCTGCGATAACCCCCCCCCCCATCTATATATATATTAAAATTTATCCAAGTATGCAGTACATGAGCTACGCCGACGTAACTGGTATCAAGAATTTTTTCTTGTCAGACAACACATGCGCTCACCACGTGTTAAAGAATAACCTTCGAAGAATAACTCTATATTTCGGAATCGCTGTCCACTGCAGATTTCATTCCTTCTGGAATCCACATATTTCTCAAAACCTTAGGTGTAATGCCTTTCGGAAATGACCCACGTAAGCGATTTGTGTAAGACCTTCTTTCAAGTGACAATGTTAGCTGACATTTTGTTCAAGCCCTCTCTCTCTCTCTTCCCTCATCCCTCGACTTTCTCCCCTTCACTGTGCCGACACTTGCAGGTGACAATTTCGTGATTACGGCCCGAGCTGAGGTGAGTTCCAGAACACTGATCTCAGACTCCTCAGTATATAACCCACCCGAGTCTTTCAGGTGCGAACAAAACGAATAGGATAAAAAAAAGCAGTCATACAAATCATCCGGAAACACTCACAAGCCTGAAGGTTTCCGGGTCCTCGTTCAGGTCGCGACGAGGCTCACTCATTGTCAGCCGCGGCTCGCAGGGCGCGAAAGTTGCGAAAAAGGGGCGACTCTCTCCCCTCCGCAGGTGAGACAACAAGCCCAGCGGCGGGCGAGTGTGGTCAGTCGGGGGAAAGGGCAGCGAACCCTCGACCGGTGTCCGTCCGTCAAAAATGCTCCCGCGTTGCAGTTCCGAAGGGCCGACGGAGTCACGCGTGGCAGTCCATGCGTGAGCGATGTGTCGCGGCGCTACACGGAGTCACGATCGCGCGTCGCTAACTCGGTAGCGAGACCTGCCCCGTAAACATGGTTGCGCCTGGAGCGCACCTTGTGGCATTTAAGCCGAGTGACACCACTCCCCTCCCTCACTACCCAGCTCCCCCCACTTCTTCATCTCTCAGTCGACGCGAGACTCAACGTTAACCTCCGCTTATCTGCGTCAGCGAGGACTGGCTCACAATAGCGGCGATGGGCGCGTAGCGTGAATAAGGTGTGTGTACGCTTGGCCGACACCTCTCGTCACCTCGTGTACACGTGTTCATTCTCCAAATAAGAAAACAGGAAGACAAATCGTAGATAATAGACAAGACGGATGAGGGTAGTGCATTAGCGGCAGCAGTAGTCTGGCAAGAAGGAATCTTGTCTCGCGTGCCGCTTCGTGTGTACAGCTGCTCCGCTCGCGTATCGTTCTTTTGTTTGTTCTTCCGAGTGCAGAGCGAGCAAACTGCAAATATGCACAGCCAACGGGAGGATACGACCGCACGTCGAATTAAACGCGTAAGTACTGGAACGTTACACGGCAGCGTATTAGAAATTAAATCTGCGCAATAACCAGGGGACCCGTAAAAGAAGGACACGGCTCCCCCCTATACACCCCCGGAAGAAGAAAAAGTAACTGCTGCAGATGAGTCCGTGATTTCCTTTGTTATCTAGCACGACAGTTAGGTATCAGGTGCTCTTCGATTAGCATAAGGTGACTGGAAGGCTAAATAAATCAATGTTCTTAACTTATCAGTCGATGTAGTGAATTTCCCCCGCCCCTCGCTGAAAAGCTTCCGGCGCATAATGCCCTTTCGAACGGCCTTCATGATCCCCCCCCCCCTCCTCCCTCTTTTTGAGCAAGCGACGATGGCATGCGATGAAGTCGTAATGCGGCATAACGTGGCCTGAAGGCACAATATCCGGCGATCTGTGACGTTATATGGTGACGTTATCAGGTTATTTGTGGCATCGCTTGCGCCGATAGTTCATTTTCACGTTTGATGAGGCATTTGCGATTGTCACTTTCAACAGATTTCACTGTGGCGTAAGCACATAGCGTAGCGCAGCGTGAGGATGCGCCAGTCGTTATCGGTCAGATAAACACATCCGTTCGGGGGCTTTCTCTCCAGGCTTCTCCTCTTGTCCTTTTTCGCGCACTCAGCCGTAAACACGTTCTCATCGACAGCTCCGGAAGACGCTTCGCCTTACATTTCTTTTTTTGACGCATTCTTGTACATCACTATGCAAACGTTTTTATCAAAGGCTGCAAGGAAGTGTTTTGCAGCGGACAGCGATCTGAGGGGTTGCAAGTTTTCGTTTACTGGCGGTAAAACCCACTCCAGGTATAAGCAGGAATGGGCGAGATATCGAAGAGAAACATAGGTTACGTGACGCGTCTTTTTTTTACATGTTATTATTATCTTTGTTCCTTTTCTTATCTCGCGTTCGCTGCTTTAGGGCAGTGCAAGGGTTGACGCCTTCGTCCGGGGGTCATAAGCGTCTGCAGGGTTTCCCTTCTGGGGAAGAGGGTGGCGAACGTTCGTCAAATCGCCCCCTCCCCCTCCTTGTCATGTCAACGTATACATAGGGCAGACTTTGCACCCACCTACATGACGGGTTCTAAATTATGGGCTCTCGCTAATTGGTGCCTGAAAAATTATATCATATGAATTCATTTTATTTGGTTGCACAATGAAAGATTATCTGTCTACCTTAACACGTTACTTTCCTCAATTACCACTGTATTCCGTTTCTTAGCTCGCCCGCCCCAGTCGATTGATGATTAATTGATATGGGAGGTTTAATTGATTGATTTGTGTGGTTTAACGTCCCAAAACCACCATATGATTACGAGAAACGCCGTAGTGGAGGGCTCCAGAAATTTCGACCACCTGGGGTTCTTTAACGTGCACCCAAATCTGAGTACACGGGCCTACAACATTTCCGCCTCCATCGGAAATGCAGCCGCCACAGCCGGGATTTGATCCCGTGACCTGCGGGTTAGCAGCCGAGTACCTTAGCCACTAGACCACCGTGGCGGGGCGATATGGGAGGTTTAACGTCCCGAAACCACCTAATGATTATGAGAGCCACCGTAGTGGAGGGCTCCGGAAATTTCGACCACCTGGGGCTTTTTAAAGCGCACCCAAATCTGAGCACTACAGCATTTTCACCCCATCGAAAATGCAGCCGCCGCAGCCGGGATCGGATCCCGCGACCTGCGTGTCAGCGGCCGAGACCTTTGGTAGTTTATAGACCACCGCGCTGGGGCAGCTGTCCCGTAGTACAGGATTACGATACTCGGCTGCAGATCTGAAAGTCGCAAGCTCGATATATACCAGCCGCGACGGTCGCATTTCGATTGAGAATATCAGTGCACCTTAAAGAACACCAGAAAGTCTTAAATCCACCCCCATCCCTCCGAACGGTGTGCCACATGCTCATATCGTGGCCACGGGTAAAGTACCCTAACTTATTCGACATTTTTCGAAAAGGGTCCCAATAATTTTGGCGCCCCGAAGAAATAGCGCCGAGCCCATTGCGCATTCGTGAGACCCGAACAGCGTTTGGGCTTTGCGTTGGGGACGGTATTTCTCGAAACTAGCGGGAGCCCCAGAGCTTGCGCAAAGAGCTTTGCGTCAAACAGACATGATGACACCCATCCGAGGTGACATCTCTTGGCCCAGGCTCGAGTTGCTCGAGTCGAGTGACCCAGAACAGGAAAAGTGTCCAAAACAGCACAGACCCTATTAGAACAGTCTTAGCTTCTGTTTGACCCAAAGCGAGCACATACAAGGACTTTGGGGGTTCCTATTCGAAAACTCCCTGTCACATCTCTGTTCAAGAAAATTGATTGGGTATCTGTGTGCATGCGCTCCTGTCAAAGTTTTCCACTTTGGTGCAGCTTAAAGGGTCGCATACAGAGCACTATCTTTCGACGTAAATGTGGCAGGAAACGTCGCGACAAGCCAGCTGAAGAGATAAGAAAACTCGGGAAACCCAGGCGCGTTCGAGTGCTCATGATTTGGCATCTGGGTCTACCGTGTTTGCACTTCGCATTGTCTTATCCGAGGCAGTAAAAAGAAAAAGTAAGTAAAGAGACAGGGACCTCGTAACCAATGCGCAGGCTCGTGGCGACAATGGACCATTGCGCAAAAGATTTTTTTTCTTTTTTGCTTGTATATCAGTGTCTCAAGGTGGCTCAACATACACGATTGTAAGTGATGATTTATTCTTTGATAAAAAAAAAAAAACGTGGGCGCGCACACGTAGACCGAAAAGAGAGGTCAGGACACCACAAATGCCGAATATATAACAACCGAAAAGGTGCACAACAACAGAAGAAAAAAAAATAGGCACAAATACTTATTTGCGCGCGGCCATGCAAGGGACGACACGATCAATCTCGCATGCAAGGAGGTCAACATTAGAGACAACTGCTTAAGTATTTGACTTCTTCCCAATGCAAGAAATCATATTATAACAACTGTTGGGGTTTTACGCCTCAAAAGTACGATATGATTATGAGGGTCGTCCTGGTAGAAAACTCCGCAAATCATTTACCGTGTGGTGTTCTTCAACGTGCACCTAAATGTATGCGCACACGGGCCTCCAGAACTACGCCTATGTGGCCGTCGCCGCCAGGATTCGATTCCGCGACATTCAAGGTCATCAGTGGACCACCGTGACCCTATTTACCACCGTATAGCACGTATGCAAGACGCCAAATGCTTGAACAGTTCAGGGGCGTAGCCAGAAACTTTTTTTGGGGTTGGGGTTCAATCGTGCTTCGTGTATGTTCCTGTATGCGTTTGTATGTGTACGTGTACATCTACGGAAGCATGACAGAAAAATTTTGGGGTATTCGCCCCCGCCCCAACCCCTTGGCCCAATTGGCTTTAAACCACTGCTTCATATAAACACGGAAGCGTGCCGTATTAGTATAGCAGAAAAAAACAAAAAACACCAGGCCTGCGCGGAAGGCGCAACGCAGTCACAGCGAAAGCTAGAAGAGCGGCCTATCATAGCCTTTTTAAAGCTCTCATTGGGGAACTACTGCAAGTACACGTGTTTGATACCCATTAGGGCATTAACAATAAACTTCCGGGTAGTAGGCCGGCATTCGCTATGCTATTTCGACCTTTTTTCCCCGCCACTGTACAGGGTAGTAAACCAGTTCTTCTAGGTTAACCTCCCTGTCTCTTCCTTTCATTTATCTCTCGCTTTCTCCCTCTCTCTCTCTCTTCGTCATTTTTCTGAGAAGCGTGGTATCCGCTAAGCACTTGCATTTTTTTTTTTTGCCAATCGTTCATGCAGTGGCTGACGACGATAATGAATTATGCGTTGGAGCATTGGACGACCCACTCGTTACGCTATTCGCATTGTGCGACGGCTGGTTGTTCTTTCGCTGTTTTAAAAAGCTTTATAAGTTATATTGACGCGTTTGCTTTCCCGACATCAAGCCTGCATGCATGCCTAAGGCAAATTTCCCAACAAGTGACAAGTACAGCGTAGCTCAGTGATAGAATACTGGGCTGGCACCCAGCGTACCCGGGTTCGAGCCCCACTGTGTCTATGATGCAAGTTTTTTTTTTTTTTCGAATTTCGCGCGATGTGGTTACGGACACCGGCGGTGGCGGACAACTGCGCGTGACCCGAGTTGTGATCTAATAACAGCTTTCGCTGTAAGAAAGGCGTCAGCAGTCATCGCTCGAAGAGACAGGGTAGGAGCCACAGAGTTGGTCGTACAAAGAGTAAACGTTTAGCGCGCAGCGGGGGAACTAAGGTGACGTATGCCCCGTGTCGTTCTCACTACGTCGTTTTCGTTTTCCTGAATAGCGCGCTAAATTGTTTACACAGTACTCGCTTACGTGCTCCAGCAGGTGTTCATCGAAAACGTAAGCAATGAAGCATTTGAAAGGTTCCTTTGCAGTTTAAAAAACAACTTTTGACGATTCAGAGTACTAGGTATTCAACTATTTGAGAGCTGTACACTGTCCCTACAGACCCTCGCACTGTTTAAAAACACAGTCCCTTGATGCACTCCGGTTTCGTTCACCGATGTGCCTTAATAGCATCGGTAGGCAAGAAGAGCTTTAGAAAAT